ACCTGGGTGAAGTGTTCAAGCAAAGGGAGCAATATGTTTAAAAGCCTAGAGGTAAGTGAGACAGGGTCCAGTTAGGGGTCTTAATGTCACTTCTTATGTCTGGAACATAAAGGAGAGACAAATCATGAGTATTGAGAGATAAGGGCTGAAAAGGAAGCCAGGAGCCTGACCACCAAGCCCACTAAACTGTTCAGAAAAACCATGGGGAACCACACAGGACCTTAAGCAGAGGAGGGTAACAGGATGAGATATGCAGTTTTGATATGTAATAATAATAACAACAATAATAATGATTGCTAATTTTTATTGGATTGATAATATACCAGACAGTGTGCTAAATGCTTTATATCATACACTCTTTAATATATTTTTCAAGTTAAATTACTGTATCTGACAATAAAAGCTGTATGCATTTTGTTATAATTGTCAGAAGGTGGTAAGGAGAAACACATTACAGTCTACTTAAGTAGGGTTTTGTTCCATGATTACCAATGTGAGTGTGGCTTTATGCCAAGAAGGACCCCAGCTTTAGAGAACACAATTTGACAATGAAAACAAACAGGAGACTTTTCATTTCGAGAACATAAAATTATTTGGGAAAAGTGGTTAAACTACAGAGCAGCTGTGAATAAGTTTGAATTATTCTTAATGTATTTCCCTATAGTGCAATTTTGTGTTAGCATAATACTTAAGTGGTAAGTGGGGATTTGGTGGGAAAGCCTTAAAAGAAAGTTTAAAATGTGTGCCTTGAATTACAGAAGTACACATAATGTTTTTGAGAAGACATAAAACTCTCAGGAGGGGTAACATCTTTGTACTGAAAGGGTTGCCAAAGACATTGTTGAAATGAAGAGCTGTAGAAACTATCATGAAGTTACTTTGCCAGCCATAGTCTGGACATGCTCCCAGAACTGACATTAAAAATAGATAGCAATGAAAAGGGTACAAGTACCAATTAGTCAAAAAGGATTCAGATCACAGAGCTGGAGGGTCCCTGCTGGGTTCTGGGTGCTGGGGGTATCTGGAGTGCCGAAGGAGGAGACACACAGACACTAGAGCAGCTGGGAGACCTCAGAGGTCATAGGGTGTTGGCTGTTTCCTAAGGAATATGAAACTATTTCAATATTTTGTTACCAACCAGTATGACTCTACCGGTAGGTATTGGCTTAATATTAGCTACACGTGTTCCTATTTTTAGTAGGAATAGGAAAAGCTATAAAAAGATGGCAAGATGGTAGGTATTTGTACAAGGTACAGGAAAAACGTGCTCAGAGAACACCGCATTTGAAAACAATCAGTAAATTTCACACCCCTCAAATAGTCTTATGTTCCAAAGAAAATGAGTCAGAACTTCAAAACAGCATAAGCAGAGCCCAACTTTTTTTTAAAGAAAGTGTTAACATTTATCGTAATGGAGATAGATTGTGCTCAACACTGGAGGAACTGTAGCTTTGGTTCTTCACTAAAAAAGGCCATGAAATTGTCAGAATGCACTCTCAGTTTCAAATATTTATCTGGCTCTTAGAATACACGAGAACACCAAGAATAAAAATAACACTCTCCATGCATAAGGACAGCTTCCTTGTCAAAGCGTATGTCAGGAGGTGAGGCTCGAAAGCGAAGATGTCGCGGGTCTGCCATGTGCTGCTGGGTGATCTCTGGCGAGCTCATGTATGACTTAGAATACTGGTTTAACTGCTTCAATAGAGATCAAACTAACGGTGGCTGAAATAAAATACATTACTCTGTTTCTCTTTCATTTAAAAGTCCAAGCTGGTAGGCAGGCAGCTTCAGGTGGTTATTGATTGGAGGACTTGGGCAATTCCGTGCCGCAAGGCGTGGTCTTACCTGTGCTGTGGCAGGTGTCTCAACACTACATCTACGTTCCTGCCTGTAGGGAATGGGGGTGGGGTGGGGCGGAATCTAGGAGCGGAAGGTATTCCTTTAAACGGAGGGACCTAACGAGGTACATTCATCAATTCCTGTCACCTGGTTCTTATTGAGCCACCTGACTATATCCAACTGCGAGGGAGACTGAGAATTGTAATCTCTCATTGGCCAGTCATGCACTTACCTAAAACCATGGAGGTTCTAGTATTACAAGGAGAAAGAAAAGGTGGATATTGGGGAACTGTTAGCAGACTCTGCCACATTTAACTACTTTGAGCCCCCTTTTCACCTCTGGGAGACGCAGACAAGTGTATTGAATGATCCGTGTGTAGAAACTACTGAACCCAGTGCCTGGCACATGCTAAGTGCTCAACAATAGTTGGTTTCTTCCCTCCCTGTCTTCATGCAATGGCGGCCCTGGTGGTGACCACAGGATTCTTGCTTACAGAGGACCCAGGTAGGGAACAAGGCAGACCTGGTATAAGCAACAGTCACGTGGTACCAGTCTAGTCACTGTCATCCTGTGTCACATCCATGAAGATGTGGTCACAAGTTTTACTAATTCACAAGGTTTACTAGTTTACTACTTTACTAGTCCACAATTTTTATTGTTAAATAGCATTTTCCTCTATACCTGGATCCCTTTCTGTTTTGATGAAGTGAGAATTATGCCCTAGAGGGAGCATCTCTAGGAAATATAAAGGATCCCTTCCTGATCAAAGCTCTGAGGAAGAGTCTCGTAGAAACCTTCCAGGGCCAGCCCTTCAGGTTTTTCTCCTCTACATTCTACTCTCTTAAAATCTACCCCCAAGGGGCTAGGCTCTGCTCGGGACCACCACTCTTTCTCTTCCATTCAAATCTAGATCCTAGGTTCCCGAGATGCTTCTTTATAATTATTTCTCTATTCTTCCCAGTAATCCCAACATACTAATCTTAAGATCTCTTCCATGTCTTATTACCAGAAGGAGAAGTACTGCCTTCTTCTTAATCACATTTCTCTTATTTTATAATAGGTAGTCTCCAAGATGAGCCTCAATAATCTTTACCTTATGTCATCACTTTCTTGCATAATCTACTCTCACACAGGATGAGAGCTGACCCGTGGGATCCACAGATTATGGTGGCGGTAATGCTGTGTGATATCAAGGCTAGGTCATAAAGGCCACTGAAGCTTTTGCTTTGCTCCTTTGTGGAGCCCTTGCTCTGGGGAACACAAGCCAGGATGCCATGAAAACCGCTTTGGGACAAAATTAACCCCGTATCTCCTGAACCAAACTCTCCTGAACCAAACAGACTCCAGCTATGGTATTCCTCACTGTTCTTAGTTGTAAACAACAACATTGAATCTAAATAGTTTTAAATACATTAAATAACTTTTGGGGGTTCAGAGAACCCCCCAGGAAAGTCGGCGTTGAGCTGAAACAACCCCAAAGAATCAAGAACCACTCCAGGAAAGACACTGATCCCCCTGCCAGGGCTCTCTCAGACACCACAGCTCACATGGATGATGCTGGTGACCCTGGCCAGAAATGACCTCCCCTGTGTGCCTGCTCCTTCCTGTTACTCAATTCAGAGTTTACATCCTGGGCCCGTGGGTGGGTTCAATGTTGCAGCCTAGGTCAAATCTTGGACCTAGTTTCATGGGAGGCTGGGAGAATGAACCCGGGTTTCTAGCTAAGGAGGAAAGGCTCCTACTGTAAGAAAAACGTGTTTAAAAGATCTTGGGCAGTGACAACAGGACAAATGCCCTTTAGGGTCAGCAACTCTTAAAATGATATGTGCTGTAGTTTATTCAGCTTGAATACAATTACAAGTATTGACTTATTCGGCAACTGTGGTTTTAAATAGGGTGCACTCTTAAAATTGTGAAGTCTCATTTAACCTCCTAGCATCATTTTCTTCAGTCACAGGCTCTGCTTCTCTCTATGTCCTTCTGTGTTACATCTGAGATGTAATCGTCTTATCTTTTTTTTAATTTATTTATTTTTGAAGTTGTGGCTGGGTTAACAGGAGAAGGGAACACTCCTGAGGCCTCCAATTCTGTTATTTGGTGGCTTACAGTTTGATTCCAGCCCAGGTATTCTTATTAAGGTATTTGTATTGAAATGTCCTAAGAAATTGTATTTTGGGGAAAGGCTAGGGTATTACATAATTTGGTTCCCCCATTTATATTTTTTAATATTTAAAATTTGTTTGCATGTCATTTCCTATGGCATAAAGTCATACAATTTTAAGGATGAAAGGAATCAGTGAAATCATTAAACCCTGATTTTGTAGTTGAAATAATGAAGGGCCAGGGAGAGGTAAAGATTTGTTCAAAATCATTTAGTTTTGAAGTCGACCCCAATTCTAACTTCTATTAGCAAATTATAAGATTCCTTCAGCAAATATCAGAAATCCTAGGTTTTCATGGATATAACTGAAGAATGAGTGCTGTGGGAGAAAACAGGAAAACATGAAATAACTCTTCTCTCTCCTGTCGGAATTGACAGGGGGACCACACATGCTATTCTGTCTGGGACACTTCTGATTTACCCCTGATGTCCGGAATAATTATTAAGAGGAAACTCTTTCTCTTTCAAAACTTGTACTGGTTCAGAACATAAATTATAGATTGGCTTACTTAATGAAAAATTTCTTGTTCTTCAATGATTCCATTTGCTCAGCAAATGTATCAAAGTAAAAAGGGTTGGCTTATACTGTAAATACAATGATTAATTGGAGTAAAACTGAGGTTGTATGTAACACAGTGATTTTCAAATTCCAAGTCACAGCCATTGGTGGGCCATGAAATGAATTTGGGGTTATAATCAATCTTTAAAAGAAGGAATGGAATAGTAGATAAAATACAGTGCGTAGACATAGTAAAGTTAAGTGTTAATATTATGCATATATACAGTAGTGTACTTGTTCTCAGTGTAAAATCTATTTCTTGTGGGTAGCAGTAAAAAAAAAAAGTGGAAAAGCCATTGCATAGAGAAATCCAGAATTTAAAGAGCTTTACAAAGGAAGATGCAAATTCATGGTACTTTATACCACTTTGCAGTCAGCTACTGGATGAACCAGCCGTATCAACAAGGTAACTAAAACAGACACAATCCGAGGCACAGTGAAAAATAGAAAAGCTTTCGCTGCAATTATAGAGTCAGAAGAAGCAACAATTACCTTAAAGTGTCTATTCTTTAGTTGCTTTAGTTTTCTTCATATTCCAAGGTATTATTAAGCAGGTAACACAATGCAAATCTACCTGCTGCAAATGCTATTTGGCACTTAACTTACAGACTGCCGTCATGTGAGGATGTTATAAGATTTCTAAGACTCAAGGATAACTGATTTATTAAAATGCTATTACAGAAAAATGTTGTAGAAGTATATTTTTTCATATGAAAGGTATTTTGACACATCAAGTAAAAAATAGTATACTTTTTAAGGTCTGACCCCATTTTTGTTAAAAATTGTGTGTGTGTGTATATCAGGCTTTGTCAACCTTCGTACTATTGACATTTTGCCCCAGATAATTATTTGTTGTAGGGGGTTGTCCTATACACCATAGGATATTTAGAAGCATCCTTGGCTTTTACTCACTAGATACCAGCAGCAGCACCTCCTGGTCCCTCCAGTTGTGACAACCAAAAACGTCTCTGGATATTGCCAAATCATCCCATTTGAGAACCATTGATACTAATAATAATTGGCCAAGGAGTTGTCTCTTTAGTGGATGGACTTCTTAAAATTGTATTTAATTTTCCCTCTTTTTTGCTTCTTTATAGATTCTGATTTTTCTACAATGAACATGTATTATTTTCATAATGAAAAATCCCATAAAACCGCATTTACATTGAAAAATGTATTGGCTTCACAGCAGTTTGTTTTTGTTTTTGTTTTTATTTTTTATAACTTTGATGTTTGAGATTCTTAAGCAGAAAGATGTTCCTGGAAAATCAAATAGGAAGCTCAGATGTACAATTGCAGTGGTTGACCAGCTATGATTTTTTTTCATTTTGCTTTCATTCATTTATTCATTCAAAATGTCTGCTTATTAGCGCTATGTCTGTAAGTTTACATAGGATAAAGAGAAAGACTTTAGAAATACAATGTGCTATTTTCCCTGTGCCTTACAGAAAACTGGAGTTACAAAATATACTTTGCAAATACAATAACTTCCCAAACAAATCAGATTTTGCTGGCATTCAAAACCTCCCCAGGTTGACAAGCCTTCTCATGAATTACCTTCTAAAATGTTTATTAGAAGTTGTCCTAGGACCCCTCATATAAAGGTGCAGATATGAGTGCAAAGATGCTCTGTGACGCTGCTTGACTAATGATGAGGTTAAAACCATCACCATCTAAATGTCATTAAACATACATTATCACACATTCATACTTTGGAAATTTTTTCTGAACATTAGAAGAATGAGATAGACCTCTATATTGTGGCATGAAGATATTTGAAATATATTTGAATATTGAATATTTCAATGAATATTTGAATATTGAAATATATTATGAAAATATTTGAAATATATATGAAAATATATTGTGACATGCTCAGTATATACTAGTTAAAGAAAAAAGGCCACAGCAAAGGAAACCATAAGTAAAACAAAAAGACAGCCTACGGAATGGGAGAAAACTTTTGCAAGTGAAACTGACAAAGGCTTTATCTCCAGAATATATAAGCGGCTCATACGACTCAATAAGAAAAAAATAAACAACCCAATCCAAAAATGGGCAGAAGACCTAAACAAGCAATTCTCCAAGGAAGACATACAAATGATCAA